GCAAAGCAGCAACACCCATGAGTAAAGCAACCTTTCGGCAGTTCCCCGGGCAGCGGCTGCATGGCCCAATAGAGTTTGTGCTCCCTTTCCATTGCAGCTGGATTCGGGAAGCAGCTATTTGTATAGGGGTGAAGAAGCAAATCCATGATGATTAAGGTTTGCTTAGAAATCCCCTCATCTAAGTGATCAGGAAGCTCATTTTTCTGTTGTTACTGGCCTTAATTAGCACCAGAGGAATGTGAGCGATGTTGAATGCAGTAACTGTATCTGCGATAGCAGCTAGTGTATGGATTTTTGCCTCATGTAGCAATGTAGCCTCATTTTATGTTTTCAAGTTGTTTAAAACAGTAGGGACAATTTTAAGAGAGAAGGTTGTCAATGAAAGTGGGTGGGTATATGTGAAAATAGCATTTGGATGTTGCAAACACACATAGCTGACCATGTTCTCAGTGACACTGACACTTTTACAGTAACAGTTTTGAGACTACTTGGAAGTAAATTGGAGACCCTGGCAAAGAAATTTGGGGTTTCATTAGCACTACTTGCAATGCAGTGTTTGATCATTTAATTTCTGATGAATCCTCAGATGTGTAGATGCTGAAACAATTTAGGAAGTAACATGTTTCATTTCACTTGATCACATGTAATGCTTTGTTCCTTGAAGAAAAAAAATGCATGTTCTTTTTATGTCTGATCCTGCTCTTTAAATCTTTCTCTTACACTTGCTTGGCGTCATTTGTGTTTTGCACCGCTGTTGATTTCTTATTGCACATCTTCAATCTTCCGTAAAGCCTGCGAAAGCATCTGCTTCTGTCATGCACATTTTTATGCTTGTGCTCTTTCAAGGTAGTGTTTTGGGCTCTGAGCTTGATGTCTGACTTTGCCCCTCTCCCCCTTTTGTTGTTCAGCACATCTACCCAGAACTTAAGGAGTGAGATATTGAAGTTTGGCTTCTCCCCCATAAAGCTTTGACTACTGGTTGTGCCTGAAGCATGGGAGGCAGGCAAAAATGTGAGGGTACGTCATGGGAGGGGTAGCTGCTGTGCAGAAGTGTAGCTCGGTCATCTATAAAAGCCTTCAGGGTAGTAAAAATCAGATCACATGCTGATTGACTTAGGGTGGCTGCAGATGTGGGAAATTGCTGAAGCTACTTGTTGACAGTTCATTAAGACAGTGATTAGGAGGGGGTTTCCTACAATGCTTCTGCCATACCTTTTGCTAGAGGAGAAAAACTCAGGGCAAGGGAGAGATGAAGAAGCACTTGAGAGTGAAGGCAGGGTTGAGAGCTCAGGTCACGGTCCGTGCTGTGGACACTCCAGTGATCCACAGGCCAATGGTTTGCCTTTTAGCTCCAGGTTAGCTAGGTGGGCAACCTAGAAGCCAGTGTGCTGAAGTGTTGAGCAGCTTCTTCTCATTGTGGGAGGGCAGTCAGGAAGGAGACAGTGTCCCAGGACAGAGCTAGCCAGCGATTGAGTGCCCTGAGCTGAAGAAGGTGACTTGTCTGGAGTGGGGCAGCCTGCGGCAATAGCACCGTTATCGTAGAACATGCCCTTTGCTGGTTTTAAGGTGCCTGGCCATGAGGTGAGTAGCTGGTACCGTGCCTCGGACCCTTCAGGGCTCAGGCAGCATTACGGGAGTAGGGACTGACTACGGGTGACTGCAGAGGTGGCTGCACAGTGTTTAGCAGCCTCTTGCAGGGGGGCTGATACCTGGGTGGCTTTTCCATAGCATGGGGTGTCAGTTGGGTACAGCACACTGAGGAAAACAGGCTCTGAGTCCGTGGCCAGCTTGTTCAGATTAAAGCAACAATTGTTTTGGGCCAGCTGGGCTGTTTGGGAGCTATAAATGACTGCAGTGATCTTCTTTTCTGTGGCCTACACTGAATTTAGGAGTTAACCTGTTGGTTTCCCTTCTCATCCTTTTGTCGGAGGGCTTAGATGCATATCTATTCCTTTTGCTTTTTGTCACTCCCATCAAGCCAAACTTCAGCATATGAAGAACAAGCCTCAGGGTCCCTGTTGCCTGCAGCCATATGGCCTTGCCCTTGGTCTCTCGCCCATTAGCATTCTGATGGCTTTCATGCTTTTGTGGTACTATCCTAGCAGTCCAAATCTTCTTTTCAACCCCATCTCTGTGCAGTGAATTTTCCTTTTGTCGGAGTTGTTTTCTTTTCCCCACAGCTTTTATTTCACAAAGCCAACTACCTCATTCAACTACAGTTACATTTGAGCTGTGCTGTTTCCTGTGTCGTGTCAGCAGGGGATGGACAATGTTCTTGACAGTTAAATGTTGCAGTGTGGATCTAAACATATTTTTCTTTACTGTAGTTGATAAACAAACCGGAAAATTGCTGTGGACTTAAGGAAAGCCAAATACTTTCTCTGCTTAGTGACATTGGTACGTAGCCTAATGCCTTTCTTGTGTTTGGTTGGGTTTTTTCGTGGGGTGGGGATGGGGTTTATTGTGTGTAATGGCATTTTGCTTTTTCAGTTGACCCTGAAAAGAGGCCTAACGAGAACAGGGTGTTAAAACAAATAAAGTTTCTGTTCCAGAGGAAGTACTTGGTATCCCTGCTGATCAGAGACAAGAAACTTGCCATAATGATGTGTCTGTGGAACGGGATTGGAAAAGTTGTGTTAGTGGTCACCTGTAGGTGACTGTGACATTAACATTTTGTTAAGGTCGTGGTTTTCCATTCAAACCCTGTTTCTGTTCATGGCTCTGAAGATGCCAAACTGCATGTCACCTGGAGAAATGTAACTCTTACAAGCGAAAAAGCAAGAACCAATGTGGGATGTGCCAAAGCTGCCCTTTGGCTTCTCTGTTTGCTTAGTAGAAGGAAAATGTTGTTTGTTCAGGGTGACAGTACAGAGGAGATGATCGACTGGAGTGGAACTCAGAGCAAGGTAGGTAAGAGGATAGCAGAAGAGGAAACCAACCATGCCATGCTAGTCTGGCAATCTCCTGGCTAATGATTTGCTCTGAACTGAGGGTTAGGTAGGTGATCCCAAAATAAGTGTGCCTGAATGTAGAGAAGCTTCTCATTTTGGAAGAGCGATCCTGTTAGTCGGCATTAGAGTTGTGGCTAGCACAGTGATGGAGATAATTTTCTCCTTTACTCAGCAGTGGGGAGGCTCTGTCTGGATACAGTTGTCCACATCTGGCCCCAAGTTCCAGAGGGATGTGGTGATCCCATCAAAGCCCTGCAAAGGCTGCCCAGGGCCTGGAGCGCCTGACCGAGCAGGAGACAGGCTTGTTGGGTCTGGCTGCAGGGAGGCGGAGGAGGGTCAGAGAGCAGCCTGTGGCTACAGAAAGGACAGGTGCAAAGGCAATGGATGGGACCAAACTGTGCTTGGTGAGCAGCATAACAAGGGGCACCAGCCCTGTGTTGCACTGTGGGAAGCTGAAGCATGAGGTTGGAGAAGAAACCTCCTTTCCCACTAACACTGCTGTTGTGCTGTATGTGGCCCTAGGGAAGGTCCCAAGGCCCTGTAAGAAAATAAAAGACATGAGACTGAAACTAGCCTTCCTGTCCATCAGGAAGTGCCCGGCTGCTTGGACATTCTGGGATGGAGAAGTCATCTGACTGAGGGTGATGCCTACAGAGGTTTCTGTAGCAAGTAGTCTTTCCAGGAGAGCTCCTCAGTAGAGCTCCTTGTGGTTTTGGTTTTCTTCCAGGGAACCCTTCTCTACTTGTAGGAATGGAGCTAGTTTTGACATGAGAGTGTTTTGGACATATTGTTCTGCACTTCTGTCCTTTCAGTGCTCAGAGGGCTTGCAGTTGAGTTCCTGAAATCAAGCTCAAGTCTGTGTTCCTTCATCCTTTTTCCCCTTCCACCTGCAGAATGGGGTCTGTTGTCTTCATAATAAGTTGAATGTCTTTGGCATGTCTTTGGCAAAGGTTTGAAAAGGCAAGAGAGAAGAAATGCAAGTTAGAAGCTGTTAAATGTATGAATGAGTCGTAAGTCAGTGAAGGTTGGTGACTTTCTTCTGATGGGAGAAAGTGAACTGTGGACAAGGCATGTTGGTTGAGTATTTCTTTTAAAATAATTCCGTAATGAATTTGTGGTGATGGCTCGTTAGAAGTAGGCTTTACACGATGTGCAGTCAGAATATCTGTTGCATAGGAAAATCTGAAATACCCCATGGTGGAGATGAGAAAATATAATATCTGCCTTGGGCCTTTCATGGGACCTTTTATTTCCACTTGCACATCTACAACCTTTAAAAACCATGGCTTAAAAAAAAAAACCCTTCAAATTTTGAAAGTTGTCTTTTGGTGTTTTGTCTGTGGCTATGTCCTGTGGCAGACACTTGCTTGATGCTCTTTTATTTACCCAACAGTGTTGTTATATGGGTGGACCAGTAGTGAATTTTCCCCTTCCCACAGGCAGGATTGCTCTTGTCTCCTTTTTGTTAGTGGCTCCACAGTCCCCTCAAGGCAGTTGAAGCACAGACTGTTGTCACAAGGCAAAGTCCTTCTCTTTGCTTTTTCTCGGGTGCGTGCTCCTGTTCCCTCCCCTATTGCAGCCACTCCCACATGCAGGTAAGGAGCAGGTTCTGGAAAGTAGCCTGGCTAAAATATGATTATTTTTTTCTTAGTAGTTTCTGGCTGGATCAGTCCCAGATCGAGCTGATCATGTGGTGCCATAAATGCTTGTGGTACCATGGAAACTGTCTGGGAAGGGGCGAGTTCGGGAGCCTGTGTTCCTTCTGGGGACAGCCCCTATGTAGATTGGCTTAAAGCAATCACAGAATTTCCTTTTTAGTGGTGGGAGTGATAAAAGTGGTGCTACTTTGAGCACACCAGTCCCCCGCCAGCAGAGGGGGAGCCTTGAGCCCCTAAGTTTGGTGTTTCTAATACTGCACCTCGGTGAGCTGCTCCACACAGGATTAACCAGAGGCTGCCTAGGAATCAGTTTTTAGCTCTAGCTGTTCTTCTGCTTCGTTGCAGCTAGACAGTCCCTTTCCTGATGGCTGGTTTGCACAGCTGTACTTTGGCAGCAGTGGAAGTTCAGTAGAAGCTCTATAAGCCACTATTGGTGGTAGTTTTAGGTCAATGGGAAACTTCACTTGTTTCATTTGATTAATAAATTTCAGTGCTTTCTTTCGTTAGCATCTTGCGTAATGTGCTCGCATCTATAAATAGGTCTTTTGGTTATTGTGTGTTAATTTACCAAGATCTTAGGCTAGAGGATGTGCAGAGCTATTTCAAGCTGCCTGCGCATTTTGGAGACCTGTTTGGTTGCTTGCATGCTGTGGTTCATTTTGTAACACTGCAGTTTGAGGAGAATTAATCTGCCTTCTCTCTTGCCTTACAGGCAAGAGATGTGACCTGTGGTTATGCCCTGAAGCGTGGACTCTGTAGCAACCTCTGTTTCTGCAGAGCAGAGGAACAGAGCTAGTTCGGTCCTAGCATCAGTCTGACGAATCTTTTAAGTCAATAGTTCTTAATGGTGCTTTAAAATGAAAATTTATTGGTGTCAACCCCAAAGTCAGGGGTATTAGATTTTTATCAGATACATCTTTAATCAATGTGAGTTTATTTTTCTATTAAATCAAACACGTGTCTTTCAGGGTCTGGTATTCAGTATTTGCATGAAAACAGAATTATACACAGAGATTTAAAGCCTGAAAATATTGTTCTTCAGGATGAAGGTGGGAAGGTAAGTCAGGTGGCCTCTGTCAGTGGTGTTCCCACTGTCATTTATGGAAGTTATCAGCAGCTTTGTCTTACCTGAGAGAAATAAAAGCGAACAAGTAGTTTGTGGCATTGACCTGGGCTGAAAACTCAACTGTGATTTTACTTAAAGTTTACATCTTCTTGAAGCCAAAAATCCTATTTTGCTTATACTTAAATACTTGCCATTAAAAACAAACAAGTTCTGCTTCCATTCAAGACCCTTGCCTGCAACAGAATGAGTGATATGAGTTTGTGGCATACCTCTGTGTTTGCAGCTTTGAGGGCTGCATGTAAAATCAAGCTAGTTTGGAGAGTCAGCCTAATGGATTTCTTGCTGAAAATTGTTTTCTCTATTGTTACTCTTTGAACAAATGACTTTCCATTCCCGGATAAAAAGTTAGGTGCTCGGCCAAGCTGTAACTGGCAAGCTGCTTTATTTAAAGTGGATTCTGCGTTGAAGTAAGTGGACAACGCCAGCTGATGTGGTGAAGCAGCAAGCCTTAACACTGTGTCACACGTCAAAGCTTCACCATGGACTTTCTCTAGGTTTTCCATTCTGGCTTTCCTCCTCTTGAGTGTGTGCTGTGGGTGTCACTGCACAGATTTGGGGTTGTTTGGTGGGGTTTTTCTTCTGTGAATTTGCTCTTCTGATGAGCTGTTTAAACTGTCTACAGATTGTTCACAAAATAATAGACCTGGGGTATGCAAAGGACCTGGATCAAGGAAGCTTATGTACTTCATTTGTTGGAACATTACAGTATTTGGTAAGACTTTTTTTTTTCCCATGTGTAGAAGTGATGTGGTATTGCCACATTTTATAGAATCACAGAAGTGTGTCAGAAGGAGCCTACAGCAGTCCCGTGTCCAGCCTTCTGCTCACAGCAGGACTGTCACCAACACTAGGTCAGGGCAGCTGTGGCTTGGCCCAGCCAAGCCCTGAAACCTCCAAAAATGGATATCCCACATCTTCCTGGTGATGTGTCCCAAGGATGTTCCCTCTCCAAGGGAAGAAGTGTTTCCTCCTGTCTAATGTGAACCTCTTACATGGTGATCTGGGGCTGTTGCCCCTCATTGTGTCATCTGTCATTTCCAAGATGAGTTTGTCCCTGTCCATCCCCTCCATCCCTTCCTGTGCCGTGGTCGGGGACTGCTCTCAGCCTGCCCACAGCCCAACCACACCACAGCCAGACCCAACAGGCCCAGCTCCCTCCCATCTCTTTATGGCTGGGATGCTCCAGGCCCTGAGCCGCCAGGCAGCTTGAGCAGGGCCACATCAGGGTCCCCATGCTGCTCTGGAACTGGGGGCTACACTTAGACACAGTTTTGTGTCTGCAGAAATGCAAGGAAGTCGATGACCTGAAGTACTAAAGTGTCTTTTTATGATCCTTTTTAGGCTCCAGAACTCTTTGAGAATAAATCCTACTCAGTTACTGTTGATTACTGGAGCTTTGGAACGATGGTATTTGAATGCATTGCAGGATTTAGACCTTTCTTACATAATCTACAGCCATTTACCTGGTAAGACACTTACTCTGCAAGAGGTGGTGCCAGGCAATGGGAGTGACAGCTACTGCGTGTGGTGAGGTGACAGTGTGAACCAGAATGATAAATTTATTGTTGGTTAGGTGCTGTGGCTGGCGGTCTGCTAAGCTTTGCAGAAGCCATTGAAGGGGCAGAAAATATATTTTTATATTTTCACTTCTTACTTTACAATACCAGGAGTGATTCTGCAACAAAAAATATGAAACTTGCTTTTCTGTTAGCATTGAAAAAATAACAGGAGAAAAGGTAAATCTGAGTTTTTACGCAAATGTTAGCTTGAAAAATTATTATATGTTAACAAGAAATAATTTTAACCAATATGTTGCGATAGCTTCCCTTTTAACTGCTAACTCTTGGGATTTTATTATTTTAATAGCTCAGTATTTGTTGCATTTTTTCCAACATGGAAAACTTGATTTCCTAATGTCAGTAGTAGGAAACTGATGAATGAAAGAGATTAGAACAGCTCTTCACTATCCATAGAAGGAGGGGGAGGAGAACAGCACAGACCAGGTGCATGTAGCTTCAGTTCCAGTTGGGGCTGACTGGGACAGAAAGCTGGCTGGCAGCCTCCAGGAGCAAGACTCGTTCTGCTGCCTCACAGCCAGCTGATGACTGTTGACTTGCCCTGGGAAGGCCTGCTGCTCCAGGAGCAGCTGAGCTCTAGGCCAGGCTCACACTAGTGCTGAAGTGAGCCAAGGTAAGGAAACCAAGGCAGAGTTGCTCATAATGCTTTCCGTGGCACTGGATCCAATAGCACACTGTGTTTCTAATACTTATTAGATGCTTCTCTTGGATCAAAGTGGTTTTGCCAGATGACTCTTGTCAATCTTCTCTGTCTCATTAGTACGTGGAGGCCGATTTTGTTGTGCAGGCTTGCTCTGTGGTCAGTGAACTGTTACCTGTTGACCCTTTGGATTGACACTGCCCAGACCTCCTTGCAAGAAGGTGCAAAAGTGTTTCCAGAGGCAGAGTTAATTGCAAGGGCTCCCCTTTTCCACTTGGAGATGCTCTGGGTGCGTCGTTTTGAAAGAAGAGTTTGTTTTTCTAAAGCTACTAGACTGTGGCACTTTTTGCTGCTGCCATATTCAGTTGGCCCTTTGCAAAAGTAATGTTGTCAGTATATCCACAAAGGATTTTATTTTGTAGGCATGAAAAAATCAAGAAGAAGGATTCAAAGCACATCTTTGCTTCTGAAGAGATGAATGGAGAGGTTCGCTTTAGTACCCATTTGCCACAGCCTCACAGCCTCTGTGGGTAAGTGTGTCCTGGTGGCTACATGTGGTAATTTTTGGCTTGTCTTTTAAACTGAGGGCTCCTACTCCTTTATCCCAAGCACTGAGGGGTCCTCCTTTCTCCTAAGGCGTGTTTCAAGCTCCTGAAAAGCTACCATTTGCTGTTAAGGAATAGCCTGTAGCCACATGGCTCTTTTTTTTGATGCTTTGGGCTCTCCAGTGGCAGTTCACCGTGCAGTTTGTGGGATGGTGGCAGTGTGAACTCTGTGACTGCTTCCTGCCCGTTATCACAAGGCCACTGAGTAACATATGCCTGATAACTTGATGGTATTAAATCTCATAAACAAGATACTTGAGTTAGCTGCTCCATGAAAGAGAAGCTTCTAGTACTTGTGTTGGGAAAACTACTGCAACTCCAGCACTGGCCACAAAGATGGTCAGGGCCTATTGAACAGAGCATACAAGGAGAGGCCTATGAAGCTGGGCTTCTTCAGTCTAATGAAGAGAAGGCAAAGGGGGACCTGATTTTGTTTTCTACTGTCTGTTGGGATGTTGCAGAGACAACGGATCTAGGTTCTTCTCAGAGGGGCAAAGCGAAAGGACCAAACACAACAGCACAAGTTACAGCAAGGGAAACAAAATCTGAGCACAGGAAAAACGTTTCCTCATGCTAGTGTTGCGTCCCTGTGACAGGGCCCCTCCATCTGTGGGGACTGCCCAGGCTCATTTGACACCGACACAGTCTTGAGCAGCCCGCTGTAGCTGCGACATTGGCCCTGCTGTGGGTTAGGGCTCGGACCAAAGACCTTCAGGAGGGCCTTCAACCTGAATTAATTGGCCTGTACCAAGTCAGACTGATTGTTTGTCACTTATTTAGAACTTGTACCCAGCAGTGCAGCACAACTCATTGGCACTGGCAGATTTTTAGGAAAAGTACTGGAGTTGAGAATGAAATAAGTACCTTTGTGCCAGTGCTTTGGCTTTTTGCACTGTATACTGTCTTTAAAGATGTTCTTTGTGTGCTTCTTGTGTGCATAAACATGGAGGAGAACCTTCCGGGCAGCTCTGCAGCATGGGGATGGTTATTCTGCAGACAAGGTTTTGAAAACTGCTATTTTGTGTGTATCACAGACAGTTTTTGGAGGAAAAAGAACGAAAAAATTATTCTCCCTGTTACCCATTTTGACACACCTTACTGATGTGTCAAGATACTTTTGACTTAATGAATAGGAGTCAGAAGAGGACATGTAATGCAAGGTACATTGGATGAGCATGTGCTCCTGCTGAGGCCAGTGAAGACTGTTGTTACAGTGGGGTTGCTCACTCTGTGTGTGCTCTCCTCCCCTTCCAAGCTTTCCCTGCTGTCAGGATGAGCAACTGCAGCGAAATCATTGTTCTTCACACACGTTTGACAGATGTTGCACGCATACGGTCTCTAACCAAAGAGTTGTAACCCGATTGCTGTTGTGAGACCCTAGTTTCTTAAGTGGACTGATGTTGTAGAATGTCTGCCTTCTCTTTCTTACTGCCCTTCTGTTTTAGTTTAATTGTAGAACCGATGGAAAATTGGTTGCAACTGATGCTGAATTGGGATCCACAACAGAGGGGTGGAGGTTTAGATCCTGACACCAGTCGTCCAAAATGCTTCCTAATAATGGATCAAATACTGAATTTGAAGGTGAGTGAGGGTTGTTACTGGACTTAGAGGCCTACTGAAAGCATCTCAGAGGACAGGAAGTGTGTTCAGTGGAGCAAAGCTGTAACCCTGGCATCATCCAGCTACAGGATCATGAGCAATAGGTTTTTTTGGTATCAGGAAGTGAGTGTATATACAGCCTGTCCTGTATATGTATCTGAAGGCAAAATATCACCAGCAATATTAATCTCTAGTGTTACAGTTGGAGTAGAAGACTGACCCTATGTTACTGCCTGTCATCTCAGAAAGGACTTGCCAGGGTCAAATAATGGTTTAATATTTGTTAATAACAGTTTTCCTGAACACCACTACTGATGCTGTGACCTCCAGGTCTATGTACTATAGTAGCACCTGTAGCAGAACAGAGATTACATTCACCTGACTCTTCCCTTTGAAGTAATTATTGGAGCTTTGCGGGGGTAGCAAGCATGTGTGGAAGCCAGAGGATCATTTTGTCTGATCTGGGAGGAATCCAAAGGAATTAAAGCTCGAAACACAGAATACTGTGCTCATAATTGGGACTTGTCAAAATCTGTATATTGTTGTGTGGATTGGGTCCTACAATCTCTGCCCAGCTACAGTAAAACTATAGAGAGGGTCATGAGAGCAGTGAGAAGACAAGCACTGGTATGTAACAGCTTTTTTGTATGGAGCGATTGAAGGAAACAGGACTCCCTTTCTTGGGAGCGATACTGGCCAGCATCAGAGACAGCAAGGCTCAAGATGGCCTTTATGCTAGCTTGTCATCATTCTTTTGGTGTGATTAAGCTGCGGCGTCGCTTGTGAAGGCCTATTAGTGCGTTTGTAACTTTCTCTGACATTAACTTAAAAGTTACAGGCCCAGGCTTTGAGTTTTATTATGTGGGGCTTTACTGAACTTGATTATTGTAGTCACTGAAACTCAAATGATGCTCTCAGTCTAACCTTGTTAACTGCTACATATTCCCTCCCAGGTCTTTGTGTCTTTTGTCTTTGATAGCCAGTGACTTGTAATCAGCTTGTACTCTTTTCACAGATAGTACACATCCTAAATATGACCTCTGCCAAAATTGTTTCATTTCTTCTGCAACCCGAGGAGAGCCTTCATTCCCTTCAGAATCGGATTGAGACTGAAGCTGGAATAAGTACTGGAAATCAGGAACTGCTATTGGAAACAGGGATTTGCTTGGACCCTCGGAAACCTGCTTCCCAGTGTGTTATTGATGGCGTAGTAAGAATGATTCTGTTCACTTAATGTCTTTCACATTCTCAGGGAATTTAAAACCTTAGGGAAGATAAATTGCCTCAGTCTTCTCCCACTGGAGACAGTTTGCTCTAAGCATAGTAACTCTTAAGGTCTAGCATTATTTCCTTTATCAGGTAATGTAAGAAGATTCCTAGACTTATACTCTGACTGAATATTTAAATAAAGTAACTTGCTAGCAAAGGGTCCTGTGTTCAGGACCCCTATCAAAATCAGTTTTTTAAGACACCTGATAAGAACAGTGTCTGCCCACAATAATTAGTTCATGGTGTAACCAGGACCCTCTGGGTTAGTAGGTGCTATGTTTGGGATTTCTCTTGTTTACGTACTCTTCTCTCTTCTCACCAGAGAGGCTGGGATAGCTACATGGTCTATTTGTTTGATAAAAGCAAAACTGTCTATGATGGACCCTTTGCTTCTCGGAGTCTATCTGACTGTGTGAATTACATTGGTAAGTATGCTGGAGGACAGCTGGGAGCTGAAAGTGCTGCTTCTCATGTAATATGAAAGTAGATTTGCCTTACCAATCTCTGTACGTTACCTTGAAGGGCGCAGTCTAGTTCAAAGAGGACCAGTTAGAACTAGGAAGAACCTGGAGCAGCCTAACAAAGTTTCATCTGCAGTGCTGTATCTCCACGTTTTGTAGATGTAACAGTTCAGAGTATTTTTGCCCCCGCTTTGGGAACTCACATGTAGAGCAACTTTAGAATTCATTTAAGGTTTTTGCCCTTGTATTAAATGCTGTACTCTGAACAGCATCTAGCCCACTTAAACCTAAGCGTTGCCACAGAACCACAAATATGAATGAAGCCTTGGGAGGTAATATGTGCAACCTAGTCATGTAGCCTAGAGAGGGAAACTTCTGGTTGTGTCTGCGCGCTACATCCTGGAAAGAAGATTCTGACTTGGGGGCTGTGATTTCATTTGCACAGCCTTCTGCTCTGCTAAAGGTCTTGTCCCTTCACACCCACAGAGTGTGCAGTGATGTCATGCTGGGCGACGTTTGCAGAACCTTGAGTGGTAGCTCACATAGATGTCCTTTGGTGGTACCGAGGGTCAGGGACCTTCTCATCTTAGGGTTTAGCATCTGTAGAAGTTGTGCGCATATCCCTTCTCCTCCTCCCCGTGCACAGATACAAACAGTTTTCAGCTTCTTGTAGTCCTGTCTCCTGAGATTAGGTGCTTTGGATGTTCATGAACAGTTTGCCCTCCTACAGCTCTCCTAGATTTATGCTTCTGAACCCCTATATCAGCATCCTGAGGATGCAGGTTACCTTTTTACCCTGTACTGCCTGTGATAGTTGCATTTCAGCTGTGATCCAAACTCTCGTGTCTCACCTAAGTGAAGGAACAGGTCCCTCATTCTATGCTGCTGATCATTCAGGCCCTGAATTTAGTTACAAAATAAAATCCAGCTTGCTTTGATCACAGAGCTGAGCCAGCGTGTTTGGCCATGTTGCACCCATTGCAGAACTGCTGTCATTCCCCTGTGGACGTTGTGAGTTAGGGCTGGCCTTCAGAGACACTTGGCAGAGGTTCAAAACCTTTCGTACTGTCTTCCTGACAGTTTTCAACTCTAGTGATAGTGTGTCAATAACCCCATAGCACTGATCCTACTTCTGGTCTCACCAAGCAGAGCCAAGTGTCTGAGAAAGTCCAGGCCCCTCCTTCCTCTTGAGTTGTTAGCAGCAGAGCCTGTCAATTGGTGCACGGATACTGGTGGGATCTGCTCCAGTTGCTCCCTCTTTGTTCTGGTGCTGCTGCCTGGCCGTGGCATCATCCATATGATTTTTAGACCATGCATGAAAGCTGCTTTTCTGCTTACAGCTTCCCTTACGTGTCTCTCTGAAATGACAGCAGTCATCTGTAGGACCTAATATACCTCTATGAAGGTATATATACACCCAACATACATGTATGAAGGACTTTGTATGCCTCTATGCCTGGAAGAAAAAACAGTGTCAAGGGACAGGACACATCTACTGGGATACTGCATGTAAAGAAAATGCCTTGTGACATACTGTTAAGTAGCTTAATTTTCTTTGACCTGGCTCTGCAGCAGCAGTGCTAGTTTTTCCTGTCGTCTTTTACTCTCACTCAGGTTTATTCTGATTGGATTTTTTCTGTGTCATGGGCTATTTTATTCTGATGAATCTCATTGCATAGCATTGTTGTGCTGAATCTCTTGGAGCTAAGGGTTTTTACAACGTTTATTGATATCCCAATGTACTGACAGTTCCCAGTCTCAGTAGGGGAACACATTAAGTCCTGCATCTCTTCCCCTTAAACATCTGCATCAGGGACCTGGGAGGAAATGTGCAAAAGATTTGAAGACATTTTTAGATGAAAACCACATCAGGACAGTGACCAATATCGATTGATTAAATGGAGCAATTATTTTAGCCTTGCTAGCTTGTGCAGGTGCTTTAGGTAGAGTTCTTGGATAAGACCACCCATGGGTCCTTCCTTGTGCCATGTTTCATGCAGTGTGCCCTGTGTCTGCTAGTGCCAATAGCCAAAGTGCTCAAAGAAATCAGTGCTCTTGTAGCTGTGAGTTCAAACGTGAGCTGTTGCCTGGCCAATAGCAGGCTGTAAAATACCTGAGGAGCTGTAACATGGAAAGCTTATACATGCTTAGGCAGCATCACATGAAAATATTATATGGCTTAATCCCTTAGTTTAAGCACCTGAAGCAGGAATTAGAAATGTTGTAAGCACTGAAGTCCTTTTCTAGAGTTGTCATTTCATTTGTGTACAATTGTGTTTTTCTCGCCTTTAGTACAAGACAGTAAAATCCAACTGCCGGTTCCTCAGCTGCGCAAGGTGTGGGCAGAAGCAGTTCACTACGTGATTGGGCTAAAAGAAGATTATAGCAGGCTTTTCCAGGGCCAGAGAGCTGCCATGTAAGTTGTTGGTCCTCATTCAGAAGATTCATTATTATGCAAATACAGAGACCGATTGTGTGGAAATTGACATCTCAAGGAGTTTTGGTTACCCAAAGTTTGACAGCCCTCTGCTGTTCTATACTTTTACAGTATAAGGCATATTTGGGTTGGGAGCTAATTCCACTCCAGAAATTTTACTTCGTGGTGCCTGACATTGATAATGACTGAAAAGATTTGAACCTTGAGTATAGTTACGGACTCACAGGATGGCTGAGGTTGTCAGGGACCTCGGGAGGTCATCCATTCTGACCCCCTTGCTCAAGCAGGATCACCTAGAGCTGGTTGCCCAGGGCGATGTCCAGAAGGCTTTTGAATATTTCCAAGGATGGAGACTCCACAACCTCTCTGGGCAACCAGTGCCAGTGCTGGTCATTGTCACAGTAAAAAAGAGTTGCCTGACATTCAGAGAGAACCTCCTGTGTTTCAATTTTTTGCCCATTGCCTCTGGTCCTGTCACTGGGCACCACTGAAAAGAGCCTGACTCCATTCTCTCAGCACCCTCCCCTCGCGTATTTGTCCATTTTGATTGCCACTCAGCTTTCTCTTCTCCAGGCTGAACAGGCCCAGCTCTCTCAGCCTTACCTCATAGGAGAGATGCTCCAGTCGCTTAATAATCTTCGTAGCCCTTCATTGGCCTCTCTCCAGTACGTCCATGTCTCTGGTGTACTGGGAAGCCCAGAACTGGACCCAGGTGTGGCCCCACCAGCGCTGAATAGAGCGGGAGGATCACCTCCCTCAACCTGCTGTCAGCGTTGCTGCTAATGCAGCCCAGGATACAGATTTCAGTGGCAGAAGGAGTGGAGCTGTTTGTTACATTTATAGGGGTTTGTCCTGACTGAATCACAGAACAGGCAGTGTCATATATCTCAAGTGATGCAGGGGCAACACGAACTGCAGGACCCTGTAAATGCTAAGAAATACTCTACACTGCAAAGACTGTTTAACTGAGCTTGACAAAAAAAACTGGGAAATGATGAAGGACTTTCACTTTTGGTTGCTGAGGGTCTGCAGCTTCTGAGGATGTGAGATGGAGTCTATGACTCCACTGAGACTCCCTGTTCCAAGGATCTTGCCAAATTTTTTGCTGACTATGTCTTTCCTTCGGGTAATGTGACAGCACTGGGCACGTAAGTCCAGATATGCTTTTCAACTACATATGCTGTTCTTATTTCGTTTGTTAGGCTCAGTCTTCTTCGGTATAATGCCAACCTAATAAAAATGAAAAACAATATGGTGTCAGCATCTCAGCAACTGAAAGCAAAGCTGGAATTCTTTCGTCAAAGCATTCGCCTCGACCTGGAGAGATACAGTGACCAGATGGCTTATGGCATATGTACGTATTGTGTAATACTTGCCCGGGTGTCTTGTCTGATCCTATAAAGGATCAGACTGACTATGAAGGGCTGCGGGTAAGAGCATTAAAAGAAAATGACTGCAGGAGCTGCCATTGTGTTCCTCAGCATCTTTATGGGTATGTTTTAGCTGGGACAGGTGCAGGAGAAGAGTTTGGCAGAAGCAAAGGCAGCAAGATAAAAAATAAAATGTTTTTGGAGACAGTGAAACAGGTGGTCAGCTGTTCCCCGCTGAGAACACCAAGCTAAGAAAATTGGAGTATTAATAGTACTGGTGAGGTAAATGGTTGCTGTACTCATTCAGAGACCGATTTATTTGGAGTTGTCACTAGGCATAAAGTGGGGGGCAGAGCTGCTGCACTGGGTGTACAGTGGAAGGGCCACTAACCCTTCACGGCAGAACAAATGCGCATGGTGACTTTAGAAACACTGTTTTGAACAGCGCGAAGGGAGTGATCTTGCTGTGCTTGATACTTGGAGGTAGCATGAGTCAGGATGAGAGATGAGGTGAAAAAGCACCAGCTATGATCTTAATATCACAGAAATGTCTGGATCTTACAAATACTATTAAGGGAGAGCAGTAAGATTTATGCATTGTTTGGATATGTGGCTAAAAACTGAAACTTGAGACAAAAATTATGACTGGGGTGAAGGACAATGATCGAAAATGGGGAGACTCAGTGAACTGGGTTTGGACAGTCTGTGTTTAATGAAAAGTGGCAGTTGTTGAGCTTAATGGTGGAGTTTAAAGACCCAAACTCATTTTAGGCCAGTGATTGCAAACAGTGAAATCCTGCCAAAGGGTTTTATGTGAGTTAAGGTCGAGCATGGAGTTGTTAGGTTGCAAGGTTGCAACATTGCTCTCTTCCTGTGATCTCTGGCTCATGACTCCTGCTTGGAGATCCAGTGTCATGCTGTTTGTCTTCAAATTCAACTGATGTATGTAGAGTTCAGGTCATGCTTTATTTTTGTGTCTATATCTTTTATTAACAACTTTCTTCTCTTAAGCTTCAGAAAAGATGCTCAAAGCATGGAAGGAGATGGAAGAGAAGGCCTCTCAGTGTGCACAGGTAGGATGTATTAAAGAAGCTTCATTATCTCTCTGTGAAGGAGATCATGACAGGAATTTAAAGTGCCGTATGTGCCATGGCTCTGTCCCTTCAGTGTGTTTCATATCTTGCCTGCTGTGGGAATGAGAATATCATTTCAGGTGCATTAAGAAAGAAACAGTCCCCAGTCACCAGGTTGTTTGAATCTAGTGATTTGAACAAAACAAACACAAATGTCACTAGACTCAGTTGTCTATATAGGAAAGTAGACTATAGAGACATGTTATTTATTGCCCAAAAGAAATGGTGTTGCTATAGACAAGAGTCTTTCTCGTTGGATTTATTGCACACACAAATTTCCGTTGCTAGAGCTGAAAATGACACCAATCACTTACTGTGCAGTGGTTTCAAAATTGCAGTACTTCATTTAGGAGTACAGACATAAATTTCTGGTGTTCTGCAAGTAAATATGCAAATTAATTTTTAATAAGAATCATCCTGAAGAAATTTAGGGCAGAACTAGAGCCAATTCTTACTCTGAGTAGTCCTAGTAGTTAGCAGTTGTTTTCGCTTGTGTTTTTTGAACACTTTTGCTGACTTAACAGCTTTCTTTTTCTCAGAGAGTTACTTCTGCAAGAAGGGCTTGTTGAAATTTGTCTACTGCTTGGGATTCTGATCCCTCTGTTCTGGGAATGAGCATTTTAATTTTACCTCCACTGAAAATGATGAGGAGACAGAGGCCTTTTTAACAGAGAATAATTCTGCCTACAGTTCTGTCCAGATCTTTATAGGGAACGAGTAAGCGTTTAGCTGTGAAGACTAGGGACAGAGTTAGGATGATCATAGTATTGTCAAAAGCTGTTTCTTCTCTTCTATTTGATGTGCTGAATAAAGCTTGGGAAGGGGGAAGCGTTGAGAGGGGAGCGTTCAGAAGTGGGGGCATTCAGAAGGAATGCAAGGAAAAATCAGCACATTGGTAATGTATTTCTCAGAGTAGAGATCTTTAAAATAGCTCCAAAAGTACTCTGTGGTGCCCTGTGATGGTACCTAGCTAGAGTGGCAAGAGCATTGCATGTTCTGCTGAAAACAGGGCTATCACATGGTTTACTGGGCTGATGTCTCAAATTTCTGCTCTCCCCTGCAAGGAGTTCTTGTATTGGCTGTCATAGCAATACAGAGCACGGTGATTAATACATAAAAATCCCAGACACCATTAGAAACACAAAGAACCCCTGTGAAGGAATAGACTGTGTAGTTCAGGTTCCGGGATCCATTACCTATCTTCGTCTAAGTCAAAAGATGCTTGGAGCCTTGATTCTGCTTGCTGATGTGATGGAGATAGGGGAATTTGGTTTCCTGCCTGAATTCACCTCTGTTTAGTTCTTCAAATTTTGGGATCTTGTTTCTCCCTGTTAGGAAATAGCAAAGATAAAAGGGAGGCTGCTTCTAGCAAAAAAGCTCAAAGCTGTCACTGGCTGTTTCTGGAAACCCAGGAACATCAGCAAATATTTACTTTGCAGATCATCAGAATTATGTTCTGTCTTCAAGCTGTGCAGTCCATATGTATAGCCATGCCGTGTCCATTTAGCAGGAAAAATGTTTTACTTTGTAATACACAGTGGTATCTCAGTCTGTCTACCAGGCAGCTTAGCAAATGTGAATTCATGACACAGTTAGGCTGTGTGGTGAGTCATGGTGTTCCAGGTTGTTACAGTCCAGAAGAGGTAGACTCTTACCGGGGCTGCTGATTCGAATACCCGTCGGGAGATTAAGGCACAAACGAGGCCATATATTGTCAATACCACTTCAAAGTTTTATTTAGAGAGAGAGAGAAAAGAGAAAGAAAAAGAAGAAGAGGAGCACGCCACAGTAGTCACCACTGGGGATCTGTCACATCCAGTTTTTCTGATCTGGGGGTTTCTCCAACGGTAGTCCAGTCCCAGCAGGCAGGCAGGTTCTCAGCTCTGCTCCGCTCCATTTGGTCCTTCTTCTTGCTCCCCTCTTTCGAGAGGCTGCCAAGGGTCCTTTTTGTACCATAGTCCCAGGCCAACCCGATGGTGATGTGTTGCGGTCAAGCGGTGGGATCCAATCCAGCAGCAGCATGTTGCTTCCACACGCCGATCGCGAGCTGGCAGTCTATGCAACCTCCATGGCACAGCTTGCAAGCTGCAGCGCATAAGCCGAACAAATTCATGCCTCTAGCTGTTACCGCGAAGCGACAAATATTTCCAAGAAGCCATGTCGTTTAGCCCAAAGTTCTAACCGCATCCGTACAAAACGGGTATTCTTCTAAGAAGTTGCTTTGGGCCTTCAGACAGTGCGCTGTTGTTATAGCGACTTGAGTCTCTTCTTCCTCTCCAAAACCACAAGGTACAAAGTTTGAGACAAACATGTCCTGATTCTTACAATATCAGTGGTCCTAATTCTTACACAGGTAAAGACATTTCTTCTGATAATAGGGTTTACTTCACATTTTTCTCAGACTCTGATTCCCCTTTGATTATGTGGCTTATTGCTGCTGCTACTTCTTCCTGTTTTGTTCTTTACCTGCAAGATCTACAGACATCCCTTTCATGTCAAGGGGTCATGTCCCATTTATATAACCTCATGCCAAGTACTTCTGCAGCTTCAACAAGGAGTATGTTCTGGAAAATGTTCAATTTTCAGGTCCTACAGCCCCAGGTGAGAAAGGAAGAACTGAAATATCTCAAAATCCTGTCTCAGGAAGGCAGATCAGTGCCCACAGTCCATGGTACTAAGATACTTAGAGTGACCAGTGCTTTCTTAAGCATGCTGGGCATCTCCAGTGACATGTCTGGCACCACATAACCTACTCCTCACACTCAGAAATGGTGGTGTTGGCTTCCTTGCCTAATTTAACTGTGGGGGCTTGGTGTGAGATTGGTATCTTTTATATTGCTTTGAGGAAAATGTGAAATGTCAGAGCAAAATGCATATGGGAAGGTAAAATGTGAGAGCACCCTTTGCCCATACTGTAAAAGTAGGAGAAAATATCTTCACTGTACGTAGAGCCAGAAAGGGGTGTGGGTGTGGGTGTGTGCAGTGTCCGTCTCAAAGAGAGATGATTTATGAAGAAACTTTTTTTTCTCACCCAGTGTGGTTGTCAGAGATTTGGATCTAGGTGATATCATGCACTCAGAAGATAACAACAGTAACCTCGATTATTGTAGCAGCAGTCATGTCAAAGAGCCTTTTTCTCCTAAACTCTGCATGGAGTCCGTTATCCAAACAAGTATTCTGGTGATCTTTATCTACTTAATTGCTCTCCTCCTTGCCTTTTGATTTGTACCTACGTTTTGCCATTAGGCTGAAGATATTGGATATCTGGATGAGCAGATCATGGCTCTGCACACAGAGATTGTAGAGCTTCAGAAGAGTCCATATGCAAGGCGCCAAGGAGAGGTCATGGAGAGCTTGTAAGTCCTTCACTTATTATTTTTATTGCATATAAATGGATTTTGTGTGTTTCAGTGTGAGGGCTGGGATTTTTTCCTCTGTTAGTGGTTCCATCAGTGCTTTGAAATGCACTCCTTGCTTTTTGCAAACTGGCAGTACAGAGTAGTTTGCAATCAGTTAAAGATCGTTTTGCTGGTAAAAGGGAAGATCCCACCACTTACGGCTGTACGTTCCTTATTCCTCTTGAAGTTCTGACAATCACTTGGCAGCATTATGAGGCAGCACAGGACACTGCTCTATCCAAAAGCTAACTGCAAGAAAGATTAATATTCAGTCACAGGAGTAAACTCATCTACCTTACCCTGCAGCCACACAATGACTAGACCTGGGGAAACATGGAAAACCTCGCTGGGGAAGACAGGGCACTTCTGCCACTGACTATGAAACCTCATCTTGGCAGAGGATGGACCTAAGATACATCTTGATGTCACTGAAAAGCGCAGAGGATTTCTTTTCACATTGGAGAAGAGTGAATTTTATAGTGTTTAGTTAGAAAATTGTGAGATTGTTGTAAAATCCTGTTAAATATCTTAAATGTGTTTTCAAAGTGAGGATAATTAACGGCTCATGGATACTTGAATATGTAGAAACTTGAATATTTTTTTCAAAGGTATTAAATTATGAAAGAGCTAAGTGGTATTGATGATCTTAAGACATAGGAAGCAATTACTGTAGTTTGGCCTGTTGCTGCAAGTACAAGTGGTAGTTACAAAAGAGAAGGATCAAATAGCCACCAAGATTGAATAGCCTCTAAATCTATTGATAGTAAGAGCTCTTCTGAATGACTCTGAGTGTTCTGAGAGGGAACATGCATGTTCCTGGTGTGTTCTCCCCCTCCCTCCTTGCAGAGCTAGATCAGCTAAGTTGCTTTTCATCTGTGTGTAGTTGCAGGAGCAGTAGAACTGGTGCACAGGGGAAGAAGTGGTGGGAGAAACTGGCTCTTGCAGCAGTAGCTCACATTCAGAGCAGATTAAACTGATGGTGAACCTGCTTCCTAAAACATCATTTCCAAGCACTTTCACCACTGTAAACCCAAGGCTGCATCAGCTATTTGCAGAGTTCCCTAAGCTGTTGATTATTCTGGTCTAAAGCTGCTCCTCTTAACGAGGAGTGAAGTGGAGAATGGATTCAGTTTCCTGCTCTTTAGTTTTTGGGGCTGTAGCAGAGCATACTGCAGATCTTAAGGTTTGATATACACAACGGCGAGACACATATGGATCCTGGGCAATGTCTCGGATTTACCTGACAGTGCTGGATGCTAATGTTCTCTTTTTCCCAGTGCAGGCAGAGTAAAGAGCACCTCTCCCTCTATCCTTGGCTGATGCAGGAGTTTCAGGGTGAATAACTGTCCAGCATGCTAGAAACGCTGACATATAAGCAGAAGCAGCTTGCATGATCTGTTGAAAAAGTATTGGGGTGATCTAAGGGGAAGAGGAGGCCTGGTGGGGGCCCAAGAGCAGAGTTAGAACAGGCTGAACTGCTACTTGTTTCTGACAGACACGATTTAGAACAGCAAAGATTTGTCCAAGGATGGAAGCTTCAGTGTTTGGCCGCTTTGGAAATATTTGAAAGAAGTAACATACATTTAACAGGAAGAAGAGAAACACCATCCTCTCATGATTCAGCTCATTCCATTTGCAGAATATCACCAAAGTTCAGGCAAAAAAAACACAGAACAGGAACAAGAATTTTTCAGGCAGTTGTACAGAAGTACCTGTAGTTACAAAAATGAAGTTACATAATTAAGGATACCACAGAAGGAAAACACAGCTGAGCCAGGTGAAAATTTGAAACTGAAAATAATGTCCCATCGGAAGAAAATGCATAATCAGAGGAAAAGAGAGACAGAGTGTTTGTTTCCATCACAGAAAGACCATCCCTGTGTTCCAAATGTCATACCTGCGTACTAGCTGTAGAAGAAGGTAGCAGCTCCAGTGTATGAGGTTCAGCAAGGCATAACTTAATTGCAATTCTTTTTTTCTTGAGTCACCTGCTTGTTGATACACAAATGAATCATTTTCTTCTTTCTAAAGGGAACAGAGAGCCATAGACCTGTACAAGCAATTGAAAACAAGACCTCCAGGTATGGAAGGAGATGGTTCAAAGACTGTTTCACACTTTTACCCCATGACTAATTATTCTGAACTCAAACCCAGAAAATACTGTTTAGGAGAAGGCAAATGATTGTATTAAAGTTAACCAGACTCAAAGGCATACCTTAAGATGATTTCTTCTTTTTGCTCAGCCTAGAGTTCTCCCAAATTGTAGTGCTGTTCCTCAGCCACGGATTTGTCTTTTGGTTCTCAGTCTTGGAGCATCTGCCTGGAACACATGTCTGCCTTCGGGCATTCTCCACCTTTTTTTCTGCCCCCAGTACTGTTGCTTTACTCCCCTCAGGCATGGGAAGAACTGCTGTCCCTCTGTTCTCCAACCCAAGTGCAGTCTCTTTTCTCCTTCTCCTCCTCTCTCTTAATTGTACTGGATGGAGCGCCATGTCTGGAGATTAATATCCTCTGAACATAGTAGCTGGTGAGCAGAAAGATTTAGTTGTTGTGCATTTGGCAACTACCTGCAGTCCTTATTGAAACCCATATCTAGACAGCAAGAGTGGCTGGAATTGTACACGCTACTGCAGAGAGAAGAGACCTTAAGGCAAAGCTGTGCCTCATGAGAGGTGGTGACAGGTTTTGAGATATTTCATTGTGTTTCCATTTGTTTGGCTGCACTAATTAAGTCGAATCTTTCTGTGACTCTGGGCATTTGTGTCCAGTGTGGTTCCTTGATGAAGAGCCTTTTACTAATGTGGTGATTGACGGCCCTTCCAGATCACGCCTACAGTGACAGCACAGACATGGTGAAGATCATTGTGCAGACAGTACAGAGTCAAGACCGAGTTCTCAAGGAGCTCTTTGGCCATCTCAGGTATTTTATGCAAAAAAAAACCCCCAACAAACTAATGCAACTTGCAGTGTTTGTAGCTTTGTAGCAGGAAAGGAGAGGAAAAACTACAGAGATCAGAGCCCAAAAGCTCCATCCACAGGTACAAGTTTCTCATAGCAAGATTAATTCTGCTTCTTTGTGTCGTGTTTTGCATTTCCACTTACTTTTTCAAAGCACGTGGCTAATATGTATAGCTAATAGGGAAGGGGAGGAGAATGCAATGGTTTGTACTGTTAGCATCCAAGAGCTAACTTTAAAATGAGGCAAATTCTGCCAGTGTTTAGGTTGGGATTAAAATCTTAAGGAAAAAAAGAAATAGTGTAACAGCTGAGAAGAAAGCACAGGGATTTATTCATTAATTCTTCGATTAGCTCAGGAAAAAAATGCATGACTTATGCTTAAGAGATCCCATAAAGAAAGTTGTTAGCTATTGTATGGTCGGCTCACGGAGACCAACATAGACCAGAGAAGATAAATAAAGTACCATGGTTCAGCTGCTGTGCATCTGGAGCAATTTTTGCATTTCAAATAAGAAGAGCTTATATTGTGTGTATTAATAGTGTTGTCATCTGCCTGCTTTTTTGAGTCTTCACTGGACTTGGAAAAGTCCAGGCGTCCCTCCAGTCTTGCAGGTTTTGTACTTGCAGCTGTCACAGTGCTGTGCTAAGAGAAAGGGGTGTTCTTGCAGAATTTTTCTTGAATTTTGGTTTTGGCAGAACATACTGCCACCCAAGCTGGAAAGCAACTTTGTGTTTGTTTTTTGTTACAGCAAGCTCTTGGGCTGTAAGCAGAAGATCATTGACTTGCTCCCGAAGATTGAAGTGGCTCTAAACAACATTAAGGAAGCTGACAATTCAGTGATGCAGATGCAGGGCAAAAGACAAAGGGAGATATGGCATTTGCTGAAAATTGCTTGCGTAAGTAGCTTTTGGACTATTCATTTGCTTTTCCTTCCAGTGCAGGAGCCAGGGAACATCAAATGGAACTCTGAAGAGACCAAAAAGGGGTAACTTCCACACAATGGTTGATTTGACTGTAGAGAAGGGAAATTTGAGATGCTAAAAGTTGACACAGGTTTAGAAAGGGGGTTGAGAAATGGATGGAAAAGAAGCCCAGTAGAGGAGTCCTTGGTGCCAGTAAGTCATGAAACTGCGAGTTGCTGGTGGCTGGAGTGCGGTAGACATGCCATGCCACGCGCCTTGGTCTTAGGTTCCCTGAACATCTAGTGTTGGCTGCTGTTGGAGGCCATACAGTGGGATAGGTGAACTTCACCCTGATGTATTAAACATATCAGGATTTTAGAGCTGCAAAAGCAAAATAGGTACTTTCCTGGTTAGTTTAAGGTGTTTTAAGACTACACTGCTTTTTCTGCATCGATTGCAGTGACTATAAAGCTGTAGCAGTCTCGATTTCCACATGCCTACATTCAAGGTCAGCACAGGAAACATGTGTGTCTTTCCCCTATCAGGAGAGTTGCTGTTGTGTGTGACTCACAGTTTAGGTCATGGCACCACCTCCTAATTCTACAGTGTAGAAGTCATGCTGTGTACAACAGGGGTGGCTTGCATGCAGAGATATTTAGTACCAGCTATTTGCAGAACTGTGGAAGGTTGTGTTGGCTGACTTGCCGGCCACAGGCATGGCCTGGGTTGTGTGTATGTTACAAACAGTGCTTGTGTTTAATCGCAAATCTTGCGTACAAAATAGTTAAGCCTGACTAAATTCATCCTTTGTCCATCACAGCAGATGAATTTCTTTATTCTAGACTCAGAGCTCTTCTCGATCGCTGGTAAGCTCCAGCCTGGAAGGGACAGCCTCGACTCCGGCAGCCACATGGCTCCCACAGAGCTCCTCAGGGAACGTACCTCATCATCTGTCATCTATGGCAACTCTTGAAGATGGGTAAGAGCTTGTTGGGAAAGGATGCCACTGCAGAGAAGTCAGCGTAGCCATTTTGTATGCATATACTCTGAAATCCTGTCCTCTGCCACTGCAGCCTCCAGTCCTGAGGGGGCCTGAGGGGCAGGTCTTCACCACGTCCCGTGTGGTGGTTTTTGGATATGCTAGGCAGGGAGAGTTTTGGCATACTAGATTGTCTCTGAAGGGTACATTGTTCAACTCGTGACTGGAGTTTCAGTAACTTGCCTCTGGCCGTACCACAGCAAAATGCAGCAATGAGATTTTGAGACAAAATGCAGTTTCTTTTCATGCCTGGGTTCCAGTGCAAGTCCTGGATAAATCGAGCCATATTTAGTGCTTCTTGACAGCTTCAGTGATTTTAAAATGTCTTAATTCAAATGGAGGTCTGAAGCTGGGGTCAGTATTGAGCAATCCATCTGGTTCAATATCTGGGGTTTTTTATTCTTCAAAAAAATGTTTCAGATATTTCAGTTTGGGCTGGAAGGGACCATTAGAGGCCATCTAGTCCAACCCCCCTGCAGTGAGCAGGGACATCTTTAGCCAGATCAGGTTGCTCAGAGTCCCATCCAACCTGACCTTCAATGTTTCCAGGGATGGGGCTTCTACCACCTCTCTGGGCAGCCTGCACCAGTGTCTCACCACCCTCACAGTAGAGAATGTCTTCCTTACATCTAGTCTAAAGCTGGCCCTTTGTAGTTTAACACCATTACTCCTTGTATCACAGCAGGCCCTGCTACAAAGATTGCCCCCATCTATCTTGTAGGCCCCCTTTAAGTACTGGAAGGCCACTAGAAAGTGTCCCTGGAGCCTTCTCTTCTCCAGGCTGAACAACCTTAACTCTCTTAGCCTGTCCTCAGAGGGGAGGTGCTCCAGGCCCCTGAGCATTTTTGTGGCCCTCCTCTGGACTCACTCCAACACATCCATGTCTTTCTTGTGCTGAGGACTACAGAGCTGGATGCAGCACTGCCAGTGGGGTCTCTCCAGAGCAAAGCAGAGGGGGAGAATCACCTTCTTCGACCTGCTGGTCGTGCTGCTCTTGATGCAGCCCATGATACAGTTGGCTTTCTGGGCTGTGAGTGCACATTGGTGGCTCATGTCCAGCTTTTTGTCTAACAGTACCCTCAAGCCCTCCTTGGTAGGGCTGCTCTCAATCCTTTCATCCCCCAGCCTGTATTGGTACCAGGGATTGCCCCAACCCAGGTGCAGGACCTTGCCCTTGGCCTTGTTGAACCTCATGAGGTTCACATGGACCCACTTCTCAAGCTTGTTCAGGTCCCTCTGGATGGCATCCCCTACCTCAGGCGTGTCAACCGCAACACTCAGCTTGGTGTCATCTGCAGACTTGCTGAAGGTGCACACGATCCCACAGTCTATGTCATTGATGAAGACATTAAACAGCACTGGCCCTATACAAACCCCCGAGGGCTGCCACTTGTCACCAGTCTCTGTCTGGACATCAAGCTGTTCACCACTACCCTCTGGATGTGACCATCCATCCAGTTCCTCATCCACCAAACAGTCCACCCATCAAACCCATCTGTCTCCAGTTTAGAGAGAAGGATGTTGTGGAGGACCGTGTCAAAGGCCTCACAGAAGTTCAGACAGGTGGTGTCCATGGCTCTTCCCTTGTCCACTGGGACTCCATCATGGAAGGCCACTAGGTTGGTCAGGCAGGACTTGCTCTTGGTGAAGCCATGCTGGCTGTCTCGAATCACCTCCCTGTCCTTCATGTGCCTTAGCACAGCTTCTAGGAGGATCTGTTCCATGATCTCCCGAGGTGAGGCTGACAGGCCGGTAGTTCCTAGGGTCCT